GTTGAAGCTGATTTTCCTCTGCTCTCCCTCTGCATACCTTCAGCTTTGCTGTGTATTTGCCTAGCAGAATCAAATCAAATTTGTGAAATACCAGCTTGTATGTGCATTACTTAAACCAAAGTCCTGTGCAGCAAGCAATGCAAAGCACAGGAGTTGCAGCTTCATTTGCTCACTTCCAATTCCCTTATATCAAGGAAAAAAAGAGAGGCCACTTCTCACTATTGACAGCACTTTGGAGTACTCTGCAGAACACTGCAAAACAAGACTTGTGTTTAGCCCGCCTGCCACCCCAACACTATTCAGTCCTTTCAGTGCTCCAGCTAGTGTAAAGGGACCATTACTGTCCTCACTAACAGATGCCCCCAACAAGAGAGTCTATTTTATATGACTGAAGTAATTCATATAGGCACCATGTTAAGTGCAGGTCTGATCTGCACCTCCTATGTGCCTATTGCTTTATGAGTCAAGTTCAAATATTATTTCATTTAATCCTGTCATAAATGTAACATCAAGTACCACTGGAAAACAAAACCAGAGTCTGGAAGACAGCTACCCTTCCATGTATAACAAAAAAGCAAAAGACAAGTCTTCCAACTTCCACAAAGAAATGAGGAACAATTGAGATATTTTCTATGTATTTGTCGCACTTGCAACAGATTCTCCTTTCTGCTACCACTTACCTCTGCAATCATCTTACTGGTCCCTGGTGCAAGTTGTGATTAGTCTGTAAATCAGTCAATACTGCTGTCCTACACCCATGAACTTGGCATGGCCGGTTCTTACTGCAGCTGCTAACACAGCTCCCTTTCTTCTTCTCTAGGACTGAAAGCTATTCTGTGGAGTTTATTTTAAAAGCAGTTGTTACTGACTTAACATCAGGATGTGCTCTGGTTTTACTGATTGAAGCAAAACTAAGACTAGGAATGCCAGTAGATTATCAGCACCTAGATTAAATCTGGATCCACTATTCACAGTACAAGAGGGATTACTAAATACATGCTTTAAGCACAGTTTTCACACCTTGTATAATGCTGTTGTGAGACTTCTGAATCTGGAAACCTTACTTTTCATGCCATTGCACTTTCTGTCACTATGCTGCATTCCCTCAGCCTTTAGTAGCCAATTCCTCCAAACTGATTTCTTGAAAGAGCAACAAAGTGGTGGGAATTTGTCATATTTTAACTTGCAATACTGCACTTATTCTCATGATTACAGGATTTGAGGGTCACAGGATAGCCAACCACTGCAATAAAGCTACACTCATCTCTGTAAATGTACACACTGACACCCTGAAGCCCATTCCTACACTATCTGAAAGCTACACATGCATTCTTAAATGTATGCTATTCCTTACCTGAGCAGAAAAATTAACGGCTCAGGCTTTGAGCATACAATTTTTTCCCCATTCTAAATGAAGAATACTCCAACTTTGTGAGTTCTCAAATAGCTCATACCTTCATCTCAAATATTTTTACACTTTCAGAAACACACACTTCTCTGACAGCTGTGAAAATATGCTAAGTTTGATATTCAAGGAAGAGTCGCATTTCACTCTCCAATGCACAGAATTCATTTTGCACCAGGGATTATTTTCTTCTCCAAACACACAGAAGGGATTGTGACCTTTCTTTCTACCTTTACATAATAAACAACTTGTATGAAGAACAAACTCTTTTATGAGTAGAAAATTAGTGCAAAGTTTACCTTAAAACCAAGAAATGTACACATAAGTAAGAAACAGAACTGGTACAGCTATTTCATTCCAGCTGCAGGGTTTCATCTACACTTTACCATGAAGTCTGTGACCTGTCTAATACTGCCAGTATCCACATTTACACCAGAGTCTCCAAAATGATGACGTTTTATGTGGTTTACATTGATATTTTAGTAGCAGTAGAAAGTATACCAACTGATCTTTTAAAAAGGAATGTCTTGATGTCTGCCATTTATTCCTAATCCCCCTGTATCTACTAAAGATCACTAAAACAGGTCTCAGACCAGCAAAGGAAAGTTAATGTTGAAGGGTCCATAGGTTTCATTTTGAAGGGTCTCATTTTAACTGTTGGTCTGTTTAATATCTCTTGAACAGAGCTACCCCTGATGTGAAGGATGAAAACAAAATGCTAATGCTTTGATTTTGACAACAGAATTAACATAGCTGTTTAAAAGCAACAGATAAAAACAACAGATACTACTTCAGAACTGTTTCTTGGTCCAAAAAAACATTTCCCTTTCCAAGCAGGACTTCGCCTGGCACCAAGAGCTCTCTTACTCATGGCACAGTGAGTTTCTTGCAGCAGACAAGAGGTCCTGACTTAAGTCAAAAGACACATATATACTTCTGAAGCCCATCAGAGCACATGAAAGATGTGTTCCTTAATGTCACATTGGGTTATGAATTAGCCAAAGGTCAGTACATGTGAAATAGCAGCACAGTGGTGACTTGCTCATGTCCCTAGAAAAAAAATCTCAAGATTCTCTAGGTTAAGAAGTTGTAATCCCTTCTTAAATCTTGAGGTGTTTGTTAATAATTTAACTGGGTAATGTTATAAACTCCATTACAAATATATTGAGATTTTTTTCACTGAAATACGTGAGAATCAGTACTCAGATTTCTTATACAATCAAGTAGTACTTAGAGAAGTGGTAAGTGTTTTAAAATTAGGCTCCACTTCTAACAAAGTTTTTCTCCTGTCTGGCAAAGATTGATCCTTAAACTTTAAGTGCTGCAAAAATATTTGAAGTAGTGGGTCTTGCCTGGACTGCACTCCAAAACACAGGAAATCCCAATGCCTTATTTTTAATTTTGTTTGTTTCCAATTACTGCTTTTGTGCCTTGCACAAGTAACAATGCTTTCTGTTCCTTCTGTAAAGCCTGACACTAACAAATTACTGCTCCCAGCAAAAGGAATGAGCTCCTTTTGGCACAAAGTACCAGGCTCCCAAAATACAGACCAACTTGGAGACAACAAGAAGTGCCAGGTTTTAGAACTGAAATGGCGTTAGCAATACAGAGAAAGTAAATTAGCTGTCAAACACCAAAACCAAACCAGATGACAGACATCTCTAAAAAAGCCTGAATCTCCTAAATGAGAAGCAGAAAAGCATCAAGCACATAGTTTTAAAAGTTGGGTTGGAGTGACAATAGAAGCACAAGGATCAAAGGAAGCACAAAACAAAAGCTAGAAGAGCCACAAAGAGGGAAGGAGAGGAAAACAATACTGCAAAGGAACACTCTGAACATGAAAAATACATCAGCTTGTACCAGCAACAGAAAACACCCTGGGGTCATTCTCTCCTTTGCATTCTCACAAGCCTTATTTTATTGGCAAGAGAAAACTTAAGTGCAGTTGCCTTCACACTGTGCTTCACCTCTAAAGCTATTCTCCTATGTTCACAGGATGTTAAGTATGTATTTAGATTGCACCATAGCTAGGAACACTATCACTAGACCTCTGACTACTCTATTTAGACAGAGGACTGTGTTTAGCAAGGTGTTGCTAGCAATGAAATTAATTTTCTGTTCTGTACATGTAATGTAGCACATTTGATGTTTAAAAAAAAGGCCATTCCTGACAAACTTAACATTGTTTTGTTTTAAAAGGTGTTTTACCACTTCTGTGGCACAAGTACTGTCAGTACAACAGCCTGTGAAAGGGAACCAGGTGCTGGTAAAAACAAAATTAACACTCTGTACTTCATCTGCTCCCCCTTTCTCCCTCAAAATGACAAGGAGCAAACACCTTGCAGCAGAGCCTGAAAATTAACTGGATGGGGCTGAATGGAAGCAATTTCACAGTCACAGACTTTGTGACGTTAAGTCAGGGACACGTTGCATACAGCAACCTGAGCACCCTGGTACTGTGCAAGGAGATAGCTATCCTCCCAGCCACCTAGAATTCAACTGATTTCTACAGCTATAAAAACATGTTAATCTTCAAAGTGCAGCTGAAAATGAAACTGTTTAATGTGTTCCCTGTCAAAAAACTGGTGGGCAGCATTTTGCAAAAGATACTTGCAGTTTAGCATTCATTTCCAACCACAAAAGCCAAAAGAATCAGACATACAATTCTTGACACTAAACCCAGAATACAGAAAATCTCAGAGTTTATCTAAACCAGTATTACTGCTGGTGAGTGCAAAACAAAACCACTCATCCCCATTTGCAGGCAGCAACAGAAGTCAGTTGTTCTGTTGAGGTAATGCTCATCAGCAGTTACTGAGGCTGTCTTGAAATAAGTAAATTTCCATCTTTTCTCTCTTAAAAAAAAAGACAGCACAGCAGAAATATAAAGTTATCCTTGACTTTTTTTCCCCTGCCAAAGTGTGCCTGGTGTTGCATTATAAAAGGTTACACTGCTATAAGCTCAACACTCCCCTGCCAGACAGATTGATTTGAGGCTGAGCTCTTTCTACCCAGGCACCTCACCCCAAAGAAATTCTAGATCCAATTAGTAGGAAACTCTTAAGCCAGCCTTGAAGGAAAGGCTTTTTCTTAGGTCTAACTGACAGCCATCAGAAAGTTCATCCCTGTCAGAACTACTGAAAGGAAGTACAGATTTACAACCAAGTTACCACAGTTCAACATGTTCCTGCAGGTTAACAGTACTGTGGTAAATCATCATCACACCCAGCTCACTGCAATTAAAGGGTATTAAGTCCCACCTTGAACAGCAAAGGAATTTCAGGACAGTCTAAAATAAACTGCTTTATTCTGGATTTAATTACACAATTATTTTTGCTCTTGATGCAGCTCTCCTAACTGGATTGCTGTTCAGATCCCTACAGCTTTCAAAAAAGTCACTTTGTGTGGGTTTACTTAAGATATTTCAAAGTGTGGCCACATTTTAACCTTTACTTTTGATGTTATCAGTCTGCAGACAAGATGCTACACTACCCTACAGTTACTGCTGACAAATTCCCACTATATCCACCAGCCCACTCAGTTCACAAATAGCACAGTGTAGCTTGCCTCAGTGCAGGCAAACCAAGACTCTTACCTGCTCGGGGCTCTATGGTCTTGTTGGAACCTTCATCCATAAAGACAAACCGTCCACCACCAAAGTCTTCAGTGTAGTCAGAGAGGTAGAGCAGCGAAGTGTAGTCAAAAGAGCCGTAAGTTACCTAGGAGTAAGACAACATTACCAAAAAAACATTAAATTCTTCTCTCATCTCTGCAGATCACAAATAATTAAACAGATGGATCTGATGGGTTTTTCTAATTCTTTAATTTCCACATATTTAATAGAGGTCTCTGAAAGCTAAGAACATTCTCTTCTAGAAATTGTGTTTATTAGTCTATTCTGTTTAAGCACACGCTATGTAAAAGACCAGCATTATGTTTATTATTTCTATTATTACAGTTTCCATAATTAGTCCTCTTAATGATTTCTATCACTGTAAGTCTACTAAAGAGCTACAAAAAAAACAATTAGATGTTACATCTCTGCATCTTATCAAAACTACAGAAGAGCTCGGATCTTATTTGTTATATTTCAAAATAAAATTTCACCATAAGGTTAATGAGACCCAAGAACAGCCTTTGGCTAATGAATTTGACCCATTATCAAACCACACTTATAGGTTTCTGGAAACCTCACCTTTTACTCTTTCACCAGCTACCATGGAGCTTCGTTGTAACAGTGAATGAGACCTTCCAAGTAAAAACACATTTGTTGCAGAAACTTCTACTCTTTTCCATACAGGTTTTGTTTAAAAACCTTCAAATGTGACTTTCAGAGCCTCTGCTGCTTAACCTAAAGACCAAACATCCCATTTTTAAAGTTTAACATGGTGATTTTTCCTTTTTTTTTAAACTATTATTTTTACTCAATATGTACACCGGAGGAGAATTAATACTACATATTAAAGGTCAAAGTTAAGCTATCTAAGAACTGAGTGTAGCCAATTCTGGAAAGATTTCTTTTTCATATCTGCATGTCACCAACAGTTAAAAATGTTTAAAGTCAGTGGCTGTATTCTCCAATTTCTTTACAGAATATCACAACTCAAGTCCTGCATTACACTGTCAAACAGTGACATGTGCAGCACAATAGTAATATATAGGAACAAAGCATTTGCAGTGTTTTGACTGACCTGGTGACCGTTAGAGGTAGGCGCTACTTCCAAACTTACACGTTTTCCAAATATTTTCAGTTTTCTTTGAAGTTACATTCATAAGTGCCAGTTAAATTTTGGCTCAACACCAGTTGTACATCTTATTCTGTACAGGCAATGATTAAAGAGAACACAGCAGCAGATGGAATAGGAAGACATTTTCATCCTTTCTCTGTTTATTATTTTGACCATAAGGGCTTAAAGGAAAAAAGCCAAATCTGTGATATGCTGCACTGCACAGTCCAAATCACAAGAACACGAGAAATGTTTTAGTCATCCCCTTCTCTCCATATTTACCCAAACCTTAGTGGCAATACAAAGCAATAAATGGGAATTAATGAGCTTGTGGTCCTGCAGCACCTCATCACAGCTGTCCTACAGCCCTCCTCAATCAGCTTTGCAAAGCTATTTTCATCTTTATTGATTTGGTGATAAAACTTCCAGTCAGTTTAAGGAAGTCTGCTGACCAGTGAATGTACCAGCATAGTGAAGAACTTCAACTCATACTTGCATGTCTAACTCATTAAGATGATTTGCATGAACTCTTCAGTGGTGCAGCAATCTTTGCTCCATCAGTGCACTCTCCATCCTCTCCAAGGTGGCTTTACCAATTCTGAACTTACAAGAACTGACTGCAAACCATTTTAACCTAACCATACATCTGATTTCTATAGAGAGCTAATTTGAGGAACCAAGTATGCAATGGAAAGGGGCTTTTCTGTTCCTGTTCATTGACCACCAGAAGGCAGCCAGCTCCGGGAAACACAACACTGTGGAAAGGAGGCACTAAAATATAGACTTATAGTACTATCATGAAGGTTGGAAAAGACCTCCAAGACCATCATACTCAGCTATTTAAAAAGTCTCCTCCGTATATCAAATGCATTTATTACCTTGGTAATAATTTCAAACACCAGAAAGGTCAATAACTGAACCAGAAGTTCAAGCTATGTGAGAAAAGCTGCTATTAAAACCAGGTGACAAGCCACACAAGCACACTGCAGCAAATCAGATTTCTATAGCTCCTTATGAACAATTCAATAGACGTTTCCAGTCAGCCTGACACTTCAGACAGTTAGCATGCTCAGTGTGAGCATCCTTTATGGAAACAAGTCAAACACAGCTAATATTTTATGGTTGATACTTGTAATTATACAGCCTTAAAGGCTATTATTGTAAATATAACTATTTTCCAGAATTAGACTGCCATATTTCAGTGTGGCACCCTTGGGCTTTTGAGGGACCTATGTCTATACAGAACTAAGCAGCTGTAGGACTATGCAATAGGCCTGCAGGTACTAAGAAATATGTAGCACAACATACCCTGCTTTCCATTGCAGAAGATACAAACATGCATTCACTTTCCAATCAGCACAGGTCTAGCATGATACCTTGCAGAAATAAAGTCAAAACTGCTCTTTTCCTGTGAGCCTCCACCTATCTCTTTGTAGCTTTGATAGCTACTCGCACTATTCTCTCTATTGGTATTATCTATTTAGTAGACAATGCAAGACACCAAATAGCACATCTCTGAATCACAAGGGGCTGTAGGGGTGAGCTGAGGTAACAGGCTTGAGACAACACAAGAATATTGTCTTTGAAATCCAAGTAAGTTTATGGTCCTAAGGCAGAAGTAAGATCTTTTGATGTATTTCAAATGTCTAACAATGTGAGAAGAAGAGTGACAAGTCTGCTAGAACAGACAGCAGCTGCTGTTAGTGAGAGCTTCAACAACCAGGGGAGAGGGGGCTGCTAGAAGGGAGATGGAGACCATATTGCAGGTATGGAGACTTGAAGGTTTGTCTTGTTCAGCTTAGAGAAAAGAAAGGGATATGTTCACTACCAGTAAGTACATGAAGAAGTGGAACTGGGAGGAGGGGTAAAAATTATCTATAAACTGATCACAAACAAGTGCACATTAAAAAAAAATGAAAATTTGTATTGAAGTCCTGTAATAGCTCCAATAGAAGAAATTAATGAAAAACAAACCAAGACTGATCTTATGGTGGAGCCTGACAATTCTGTGAAGGATGACAGGATCCTCACCCAGGCAGGGCCTGCAGGAATCCTCAAGTCCCACATCACTTCTGTTGGAGAACATAAAACTATGCTGCTGTCAGAGTAGAATGTACAACAGCAGTTCCATTATAAATCAAGCACTTGAAAGGCTCAGTTCCAAGCAAATTCCATCCAAGATGAAACTCCACATCTTAAGGCACTACTCTATTTGATTTAGATGCTTATAAATTTAAAAGGATTAAATGAGTCATTTGGGTGATTTCAGGGTTTCTATTCCTTTGTAAAAAAAAAAAAAAAAAAAAACATTTTAGGGAAAAAAAAAAACACAGCAGCCTCATACAAGCACAATAGATGTGTGCTACTCCATTACACAATTAAAAATCTTACAAAGCAAAGACATTAAGATTGAGAAATAATTACAGAAGACACAGCACTATAGGGGGGAAAGGTAAGAAAAGTATTTGTGTGCTCCAAGAGGTCTACCCTCTTTGAGACAAGTGTCAGACTTTTAAAGAAAAAAGTGTCAGGTTCATTTTTCAAAGTCTTAATTTTAGCATTCTTTTGGAAAGAGACAAGGGGGGGGAAAAAATCCTGAAGTCTTCTAGGAGCAACCTTCACTAGTTGTTATGCAGAAATGCAGAAAGTCATTTGTTCTATTCCACAGGGAAGGCATAAATAATGATACAGCACAAAAGCATCCAACAAACTGGCAAAATATTTAACTTGCTGAGTTTTATTCATCTTTCTTCAGCTCCCTAGTAGTCACATTGGTTTTGGAGGCCACAGAATAGTTCTGCTCTCACCTGGGAAGTATTTCCTACCTCAAATTAACAGAAAATAATTTTCCTTGCTTTCAACTGCAGTCTAGAAGTGATAAGTGAAACTCCAAGTTTGTTGGGAAAAATGAGATACAAGACAGGATGACTGCACTGAAGACAACCTGTGAAGTGACAACTTGTCTATTCTATTTAGCCTTTGAAGTATTTTCTGACCTCCTGACCTTCTATTTGAATTCAGTCTCCTGCATAGCCTGGGCAGCTCTAATTTTTTTTTTTTGTTTTAATCTGTTTGTAAACACATAATATAGACACAGACATATTTAGTGTATACCTACAGTAGGCCAAAATTATATGCAGACATTCTACACACACTGCAACATTTCCTGTAAGCCATGATCTGGCAAACATAGATACAGTTGGAACGGAACTATCTGTGAATGTAGTATTCACTTAAGTGGAAAATATCAGACCTTTTGACACAAACAGAAGGTAGAAAAGAGAGGAATTACTAGCTTGTTTGTGCAGCAAGGAGAGGATACAAATTAATCTTTTGATGCCAAATCAAGTGAATGGTTTACCAGAAGTGAAGGTGGCCAGTAACAACAATACACAATGTGATTTGGATTTCCATGATTGACATGAACAGGATTAAGGATGTATCTCTATTAGACCTATTTAAGGCATCAGTAGCCTGGTTCAAATTCTGAATTCTCATGGGGCAATGCTAAATGCTGTCATTTAAACCACAGAAGTAGCTGTCATCCAGCTGAAGTCCTTTATCCTGAAGAAAGGATGAAACACTAAACTGCAGCCATTTCCACAAGAATGGTCCCAACCCATAGTGGCTGGTCCATCTCTCTTCAACACCCTTTGCATTGGCAACAGCATTTGCTCTGTATGAAGACTCAGGAGTGAGAAATGGATACCAAAGTCTTGAGCTCAAGAAGCACTTCCAAAAAGTCTGCTCTCTATCTTTCTTCCACTGCACCCACGAAGAGCCCTCACTGTGGCTGGGGACCAGGGATGTTGTTTCCTTGTGCCCCCCCAAAAAACAGAGAGGGAATCAATTCACATGGGTGCAAAATGTTTAAACTACTTACACAGAATAATCAAGACAAGCTACAATTTTAACTCCCAGTGTTATCTAAACAACACTTCTCTCAGAAAATACCTTGAAATTCAGTGGAAGTCACATTTTTGTGTTTTACAGCAGGTATGCTGTTGGGGGGAAAAGTTCTACATGATTATGAACCAAGTGTTTAACTGCCCCAAGTAGGATAATTATTTCTTCACCACTATTATTAATCAGACCACCCAATTATTCAGTATAGAAACTATTAAAGTTTAGATTATGCACAGCAAGTTTAAGAGACAATATTTTGTGTTTGTTGTTTTGAGAAGCTGGGAAGGTTTAGAAAAAGCCAAGGCAAATCAGTTGGTGTGTCTGCTCCCTGAACAGACAGCCTGCAAGACAGTAAATAAAACATGGCCAAAACAGATGGATAAAAACAGCAAAGCATCTAGCCTCCTGTCCATCAGGTACAGGCACTGTCTGGATGCCATAACAAAGCAGCAGCTTCTCCAAAAGAAACAAATACTCCTCACGGAAACAGATTTGCTTCTAAATGACAAAAAGAACTTATATTATAGGAGAGATGTAGGCAGAAACATAACCGTAAGGTTATGCAGCTACCTTATTCATTTACCAATAAAAAACACATGCAGAAAAGAGTAAAGAGACTATTGGCAAGCCTACTGATGTGCAGACAAATCTCATTAGTCTGAAATCCTAAAATACACTTCTGGGGGCTGAAAGAACAAATTGGAGACAACAGCCATCAGCTATTGAAATTTAGTGTTTTCTCTTCTCATGTGGCAGTCAAATTCAATTCTCTGAAAATGTGGAAAAACTAGGAGGAACCTATGAACTTACTGCACTTCACACAACCAAAAATCACTAGTTTATTTGGTGCCCCTTGGAAACAAGTGCAACACATGATGGAAGTCTTATGAACCCCACCAGCACAATATGCTCCCAACAACCAGTTCCTACCAGCACTAGTCTATCTGCACCTCAAAAATCTTCCTTACCACCTCTGGTCCTGGGTCCACTCCTACTCAATAGTTACATCACAGCTTTTTAAACAAGACATATCCAAAAGCTGATCTCAGCTCTGCCACACTGACTGCAAATTGCACCCTGCATTATTTTCTTCTTTCCAACAGCAGTTTCATCTGGTACCATCACTGTCACCAGGCTTTCTAACGTTCAGCTGCTTCTGCCTACACAACAAGGAAAGGCACACGAGCTTACACTAATGTTGTGAGCAGCAACAGACATTACACTTCCCTCAGACTTCTTCCAGGTGTTTCCAAGGCAAGGAATATTTCTCTGCTTAATTTTTCATCTTAGATGTTTCAGGTCATAGACTTCAAGGTACATTATCCATGTACTGACTCTAGTACTGAGGTGTAGCTTAGATTTTTGATGGGAGAAGTTTTATTTGGTTCCATCTCAGGTGATCCATGACTGTAGAGTGACTCTGACTTTTAAATGTGGAGATTATGAATGTCATACAACATGAATTATGGGTGTTCTGTGGTTTTGGGGTTAGTTTCCTTTTTTTGAGGCAGGGAAGGGTTTTCTTGGTTATTTGATTCTTTCATTGTTTGTTGGTGTCATGCTACACTGCACAGAACCTTTGAATTCAGCTAAACTCAGAAATAAACTCAATACCAACCCCAAATCATTTAAGTCCATTCAGAGATGCAAAGTATTAAGCTATGAGCCTACAGAGAGAAGACTAGACTGCTTAAGTCACAATACTACCATTCTAAAAACAGCAAAACACTGAATTTTTGAAAGAGTCCCATAACCCCATTGAAGAACACAGTAAAAAAGCCTCAGTTCAGATATAACTGAAATATAAATGTTAAAGATTCAGGAGACTCAAATCAACAAACACCAGTGATCCACTGACCACTTTGAAACAGCTTCTGCTAGACCTGGCTGAAAAAGTGACATCCTTATTGGAAATGATGGTTTGAAACTGAAACACTTTGTAGGTGAAGATCAGTTTAATCAACACTTCCAACCAAAGATTCCTTGAGTAGTCATTCATACAATTTCTTCATTCTAGCAGAACTAAAGTAGAGAAAATAAAATAAAAAGGAATATACTGGTCTGTGTTTCTAAAATTCACTTATCTTTACATTTGATTCATCCCCCAAAGGATTTTTACAAGCATCAGTTTTCAAGCATGTTTGACTGATTGTTTAATACAAAATAAAATTAAAATGATCTAATAATAACAGGAATCATTTGCATTCCACCTCAGCCTCCTACTTACCTTGTCAACATGTGGGTGCCAGTACTCATCATGTGTTGTCTTGGCTTCTGTGTTGTTTATTCTGGAGAAGAACGTGGGCTTCGTCAGGTACATGGAAGCAGAGCTGATGCCAAACACCTGAGCAATCCTTTGTTGAATTCTCTCTCTCACATCACTGCAAAGAACACAACACAACACGCCAAGTGACACACCTCTCCTGCTTCTTCTCTCTCCTTCACTCAGTGTTACTGCTTCAGAGCTAAGCTGCTTCCTTAGCTAAGAGGGGGGAACATATACCCACACTTTGTCTCTTAATCTCCCTTAAATAAAGGAGATTCTCCTTTAGCCTCTCCCCAGTGTTTTGGGTTTGTTGTTGGTTTTTGTATTGGTGTGGGTCTTTTGGTTTTTTGTTTGTTTGTTTTGTTTTTCCCTGAGGGGTGGGGGAGGGTTTAATTCTCCTGTGGCCTATGTCTAAAAATTTGTGTGAACAGTCTGTTTTCCAGAAAAATCCCATGTGTATCTCATTGTTTATTAACTACTGAAGAGATTAAAGCAGGTAACTAAAAAGTCATACGTGCATAAAGGATTGCCTCTGAAGCACCTTTACCTATTTTTTACACTAATTTGAACTAATGAAATCACAGGCACTATAAAAGTCAGGATTATCAGTTAACATGGGTATTGGTATCGTAACCAGATTTTCCTTAAAAATTAATGTAAGATGCCTTTGCCAACTATTTTCAAAGATTCAACCAAACTATTTCTACCTTGGCTATTCCTATGTCTTTCAGGAGACAAGCCAACAAAATCTTTATTTTCATGATTACAAAAATCAAAAACTAGCAATCACACACACATTATTATACAAAACTGCTTATACAGCAGCACCCATCTTTCAGGACAGATATTGTTCCATACAGGACTAGAACAGGGCCACCTAGAACCACCAGCCTTAGTTCAGTCAAAAGCACTTTTAAAGAGATGATGTTTGTGGAGGAATAATGAGGAATTACATTGGCAAATGCCACCAGTAAACACATACAATAAGTGCTTAACTTTGAGGAAATCTGAAGATCAGCAAAGAATGCAATAACATAATGAAATCAAATTAAAACATCAGGGTTTTTTTAAGATGTAGTCCTCTATGCTTCTTAAAATCCTGATACTGTTTTCTCTGTTTTAACACATTCTTAGCTATTGTATTAGTATTCCTCCATTCCAAAGTGCTTCAATAGCAGCAAACAAGATACTCTGAGTAAAGACACTTCAAGTTGTGCATGGAATTACATTAATAGTTTTGCATCTTTTCTGCATCAGACATTTTCCCCCCGGGTAGCATAATTTTCAAGAAAGCAAGTTCCCTAGAGAAATACTTGAGAAATAAACAGGGACTAAAAAGAAGTGGTAGAACTAAAACCAGACCTACAGTGTCAGGCTGTAGAAAACCACCTCTTAAAAACTATTTCCACAAGTACTAAAGTCCTAAATACTCTCCTCACATCTTGTCCCTCACCAAAAGTAAAAAACCGCATACAGTTTTATTTTTAACTTCTCATCTGATATTTTTAGGGCTCTCAGATTTAGGAGTCAATTCAAGCTATTTTACATGTGAAATATCAAAACCACTAAATTAAGTTAGAGCTGAGATTTTTCAGGTATTTATGTGGCTGCATGAACTCAGGTTTCAAGTTGACAGCTAGGTGGTGGTTAAGTTTGTAAAACTGACATCAGGAAAGGCTCTACAGGTCCTTCCTCTCATGCCTGGGGGAGCCTGATCTTTGTCTGTTCTCTTTCCAAGAAATAAATAGGGCTTCAGCAGAGGCTGCCTTATGTTTCCCAAAAAGCATTACATGCAATTACTCATTTCATTTTATGAATCGAGGGCAGCCGGTACTCTGAACAACCCAACAGAAGAATTAACAGCCTAACCCACAAATACTAAAGCAGCATTTTCCCTGGCTCTGACACTGGGTGGCCACTTGCACCAGCCAGCTGGAACATATCTACTCTGAAGTAGTTAGGCCACAGTCTTGACACAGCTTTAAATCTCCAGTAGTTGTCTTGTTCTCCAGGCAGCACTGCTTCCTCTTGCATGCTGATTCCTTTTCCACTCTTAAAAGCTTTCTATTAAGACTTGCTGTCTGGCTCCATTAAAGCTTCACTCTCTTTGAGACTTGCATGCAGTGACTTTGAGCAAGACTGCATGGTTGGGAAACAAAAACAGCAACCAAAAGTCCTCCTGAACTAACCAATGGGTTACCAAAAGAAAAAACAAACTCAGGTTAAATATGCTGCAAAGATAAAATAAGCATATTTTTCAGAAGATAAGTTCAGGTTTTCCTGTTTATGTATCAAGTAAGCAACAGGAACACAGTAACCAAGCAGCTGAGGTGACAGGTTTAAAAGCATGACTTTAGGTGCTATCCTGGTCTCCTGGAAGCAGCTGCCTTCAGCTGACCCAGGCAGCTGGTTCTGGGGTGTGTGAGCACACTGCTGGCTGCTTATTCCCCTGTCTGCTGTTGGCTTCAAGTACTAATTTTAATCACAGTAGCTTCAAGTGCATGAGGTGACAAGAGATGCCAGCCTCACATTTCTTCAGTTGATTTGTGTGCTCTGGCCTTTTGTTTCACTGTGAGTTGTCACCCTATACATCACAGCATCACTCAAAAACTCACAATAACCATGGCATATGTAACAGTAAAACGTGGATTTTATGGATGTCAGTAATTTGCCAGTCAAAAAATGGGAAACTACTGAAGAGCTGCACTGATTGTAATGGATCTTGCACTGTGCTTCAAAATCCAGGTGTTTACCCTCTGTGCTTAAAGCTGTTCTAATGCATAATCCAGAAACACCACAATATCACATGTCCAGAGAACAAGTTTATAGCAGCAGCCTTCCTTCAAGAAAGGGGTCAACAAGCAAAAGAATACTGACTATTCACATCAGAGCTGAGTGAGCAAAAGAGGCTAACTAGCCTATAATAAAAGGCTGATAAATAACAAAGCAAAAGAAACTCTGCTTGATATGCAGTCTGCAAAGTCATAAAAGTTAAGTTTTGGGGGGGAGGACAGTTAATTTTCTACTTCGCCTTCAGTGCTCTCATACACATTTGTGAGAACTGAAGAACAATCAAATTATTTTTTTCAGGGCCTAATCCAGCCTATATTGAAGTCAGTAGGAAATAATTTATTAATTCCAGTGAACTCCAAATCTAACATTGGAAAAAAACAAGCAAAGTAATCCAAACTCATGTACTGGTCACTGGAAACAAGATCCCTTTCCAGCAAGCTTTGCTCCTAAGAAAAACCCTTCACAGGATGACCTTTGTAAAGAGAAATGGTCAGTACAGGACAGAACAGAAGTATTCAAGACTGGATTTCTTTTTCCTTCCCCATTGTAGAAACACGATGAAAAATACATGCAATGTACATAACTAAGTTTGACATTCCCAAAGTTCAGGCTTGAATTTAAGAGGTACAACAGAAACCTGTGTAACATATGATAGAGCAGAGTCACAAGTCACCACAGCCCCCCTATTTCTTCACAACCTGTGGATGCTCTTAAATTTTTAAGCACCTGGACACAGTATCATCTGACATCTCCAACAAGTGCCCAAACAATTTTTACTTAATAGAAACTATTAAAATGGAAAAAACTGCCTAAAATAGGCAATGTTTATGGCACTTTCACACAGTGAAAAAACTCATGTAGAGAATAAACAAGAAAAAATAAAAAAAGCATATCAGTCATGAATAAACTGCAGATTTCCACTGATGTTTGAATGAAAAACCCATATGGCAAGGATTTGCTAGAAGCAAGCTCCAAAGAGCAGTACCTTTGAGTGCCCAAATGCTTTTACTTGCTTGGATATGTACAATACTACTCCAAAGCTACAGAAAGGAAGTGAAATTCCTAGCTGAGCCAACACAAATATTATTTCATAGAATCACAGAATGTTGGGGGTTGGAAGGGACCTCCAGAGATCGAGTCCAAACCCCCTGCCAGAGCAGGACCATCTGTAAAGAGAACACAGTTAATGACAAAGTCCGAGTCACCAAATACGCCACACAGCTGCATGCCTGGAAGCATGAAACTCAGCACTGGGTGAGGTGCTAAGCACTGAGCAAGTGGGGCAACCACCACCAGACCTCTGGTGTTACTTGGGTGCCCAGAGGGGCGTGAAACAGGGCATGAAACAGGGCGGAGGCCTCATGGTCCCAGTCTTCCAATGGCTTAGCCCAAAAGGAGCCTCCACCAATGCAGGTGTAAGTCAATGGACTTTGTGGCATTAACTTAAGTGATAAGATGGTCTAGAGTCATCCCCACCTGCACATATACCCTGGCAATGTAATGTAAAGAACTCAAGTATAAATTTCACCCCAATGTCAGCCCCAAAATCAGGACAGGGTCGACTTGGAACCATACTGATGACAGGACAGATTGATGAATTCTCTCCTTCACCATCCCCCCCACTTGGGACACCGTGTGGGTAAGATAATTTACCTCAGCCAACTCTGAGAGACATACTTTTCCTCCCCAGGTATATTCATATTTTTCTCCTCAGGTGCATTTCTATGCTTCCCTGAGTGTACCCTTGGTTCTTGTTGACTTTACTGTTTCTTGGTCTATTGTGTTTTCTGTTCGACAACCTTGTCTATTTGCCAGGCATCCAGACCTACAGCAGGCAACTTATTATTTTGGGGGGGTGTGTGTGCACATATATATCTAGTGTTGTTAGCAAGAAATCTTTAGCTATACTTGTAGCTTTTAATTTTATCACTGGCAATCCAAAAGAACCTTTGAGTGTTGCTGTAAATAAACTATTACTATTTGTCTCCAGATCTGCATCTGTCGCATATTTGGTGCCGGCCACACAAGACCGGATTTATCCCCCCCCTTCCCACAACACCATCTGGTCTAGGGCAGGTCACACAGGAATGCATCCAGACAGGTCTTAAAAGTCTCCAAGGAAGGAGACTCCACAGCCTCCCTGGGCAGCCTGCTCCAGTGCTCTGGAACCTTTACAGGAAAGAAGTTCTTCCTCATGTTGAGGTGGAACTTCTCATGCTCCAGCTTGTGACCATTACCCCATGTCCTGTCACAGGGCATAAGTGAGAAGAGACTGCCCTTTAATGTGTATATTTATACACATTAATTAGATCCCCCCTAAGTCTTCTCTTCTCCAGACTAAAAAGCCCCAGAGCTCTCAGCCTCTTCTCATAAGGCAGGCGTTCCAGTCCCCCAGTTACCCTCGTAGCCCTCCACTGGACTCTCTCGAGTAGATCTCTGCCCCTCTTGAAATGGGGAGCCCAGAACTGGACACAATACTCCAGGTGAGGTCTCGCCAGGGCAGAGTGGAGGGGGAAGAAGACCTCCTTTGTTCTGCTGGACATTTTTCTTGGTGCACCCCAGGATACCATTGGCCTTCCTAGCGCACAAGGGCATAGTGCTGTCCCATGGACAACTTGTTGTGCACCAGGACTCCAAGGTCCCTCTCCACAGGGCTGCTGTCCAGCAGATCTCCTCCTAACCTGTACTGGTGCATTTTATTCTTCCTGCCCAGGTGCAGGACTCTGCACTTAGTCTTGCTGAACCTCATGCAGTTCCTCTTGGCCCAGCTCTCCAGTCTGTCCAAATCATGCTGAAAGGCCACACAGCCTTCAGCTGTATCAGCCAAACCTCCCAGTTCTGTGTCATCAGCAAGCTTACTGAGAAGACATTCTATACCATCATCCAGGTCATTAATGAGGATGTTGAACGGGACTTGACCCAGCACTGATCCCTGAGGGACTCCACTAGTTACAGGTCTCCAGCAGGACTTGGCACCATTGAACACCACTCATTGGGCTCTATTGCGTAGCCAGTTCTCAACTCAATCTCACTGCCTGTTCCTCTAGCTCAGATTTTCTGACCTTGCTCAGGAGGATGTTATAGGGGACTGTGTCAAACGCCTTGCTAAGGTCAAGGTAGAGACCATATCAAAAGGTCTCTCTGCATCTACCCATTCAGTCACTACATCACAGAGTGATATCAGATTAGTCAAGCATGATTTTCCCTTGTTAAATCCAAGCTGACTAATCCTGACAACCTTCTTCTCTTCCATGTGCTTAGAAATGAACTCCACAATGAACCGTTTTTTTTGAACCGCTCCACCATTTTTCCAGGAATGAAGGCGAGGCTGACTGGCCTGTAGTTTCCTGGATCAACAGCATTTCTACACACAGATACTGTTTAATACCTACTTTCTATCAGTGTGGCATCAGTCAAAATCAAATCCACAGGCACTATAACCTAGAGAGCAGAAAATACACACAGGAAGACTTTCTCAATTCATGTCAAGAGCCAGGACATCTCACTCGGTTGTATGTAAGGGGTTGCTGTTCAAGTTTAAAAAAGCCACATAAAGTATAGAAGTACTTAATCCTTAATTGGGGAATTGGGAATTAAGGTGCAGAAGACTGATCCTACAGAAAACATTGTACTGTGCTGTTGTAACTAATGAGAACTTATCTTGTAGCTGATGTAAGAATGAGTAAAAACATATGTTGGGTGCCAAAGGCAAAGATAACTGTGTGCTGCAGGTCTGTTTTGCAGGGTGTTTTGCAGTAATCTTGACTGCCCTTTGTTCCACAGTCACATTTACCCCACTGCAGGAGTCATCAACAGGTTCACAAACTTCTCAGTGCAAACATGAACTCTGCTTCAAGCTCCATAAACTACTTTATGTCCCTCTGTGACAGCCAATTAAATTCTCTACATAAGGGTCAAATGTTTACCCTGCAAAAAAAGGCAAAGGCACAACATATTCTAGAGACCCAAGTGTTTTCTAGAATCCTGTAACATGTTATCTGAACACATGCATCTGTGTGCTTTCAGCTCATTTTGTGACCAGCAGATGTCAATTACAGCACATAGATGTTCTCTGAAGTCACTTTTAGCCTATAAGAACTCCTGTGCACAGTCTGTTTGCCACTGATGCAGCCATTTCAACATTTATCAATATGATGTCTGCAAGTTTTTCTTTCCATTCCCTTCCCCATTTCACACTACCTATACAGTCTATTGGTAAAATAGTAAAGGACAAATGCATTGTACTTCATGTGCAAATTATGTGACAAGACACCAAATTTCAGCTTAGAAAGCACTATCAAAGGAGGAATCAATGAGCCCAGGAAGTCTGGCTGGCTTGGATCTGTGCAGCACAAGCAACATTGTTCCCTTAGCCACTTCTCATATGCACCCAGAAGAGGACAGAGCCTCAGGCAGAAGCCTCCTCTCTCTTCTTGATCTTGGCCAACTCATTCTTCATACTTTTTCTTCCACATGGCCCAGATTTGAAAAACTGTTGGGAGAGCTCTGGTGGTACTATAGCTACAAAAAAAATTACTTGTTTATGCTGGAGAATGTAAGCATTTACTTTCATAAACACAGCAACTATTCCAGGATTCACACTGCTTCAGCTGTACCCTGGCTCTGCTCAGATGCACTAAACAGAGCTCTCCTACAGCAATTTAATAGGAGTGCATCACCCAGTCAACAGTATAAGTAACAAATTAATCCCTCACAGAATCTGTCAGCAGCACTCCTTGCACATTTGCACTGTTGCTGGTTAATATCAAAATACACAGGCCAGATTGGGGGAAAGAACAGAACTCCCTGAGAAGAGCATATGACCACCTCCTATAAAAGGAATTACTGAAACTACATTTGGAGTCAAGGTGATGAGGAAAATAAAAAGCTAATGAAGTAGCTAGAGGTCTAAGGAACATACAGGTTTTAAGAGAAACGATGTTCATTAGATTGCAAAGTTGCCAGCTTAATCCATCAGTGACACCAAAAAAGGACAGTAAAATGAACTAGAAGTGGCACAGAAAAGTTTCTGTAAGACACAAGCTCTGCCAGACCAGCAAAAACGTACTGTTAGGAATCACTGCAAAGTGGGATTCATGCATGGTGACAGGAACACTCAAAGCTTTGCAAACCTACAACTTCCCAAGCCACTTGTCAGTATCTCCTCTCTGTTCCCAACGCAAAGCACCAAAGGGAAGAAGCCAACAAAGCAACACTTAAAAACTAACAAGAGTTTTAAGAGAAGTCACATGTGCAGAAGGCATACAGGAAGAAAGCACACCAGCAGCTCTCCCCTCTGTCAATTCTGCAACTCTAACCTCCACCAGCCCCAAGATTTTTCAAATAAATCTTTGATGGTGCCATTTTCTGCTAAGTCACAACCCTTAAAGCAAGCACCCACACTTAAAAGTCTCTCTCCTGGATAAAGATGCATCTATTATGGGAAACAAGAGGAATTGCTCTAATATGCTTGGCAGATGGTGGTTGAAGCACCAGCCTAAAAACTATAATTGATCCTGAAGTGACAGTTTTGACAGAGTTTAGAATCCAGCCTCCTGGCTCAGAACATCTACCCAGATTTGTTATTGCTGCAATCAGTAATACTTAGACATGGACTACATCTAGTTATTTCTCTAAAGAGTCTATTTTTAAATGGATGCTGGTAGGTAAGTGAAAGTAATGAAGATAAAATGTTCCCAAGAATAGCATAAAATCATTCATTAAAGACATAAGGTACTACAGTCCATGCTAAAGCACTGCCACTAATATCAACAGAAGCATTTACTAATAATTTTGTATTAAGATTTGTATCCAGAAGACTGAAATGTCCCTTACACTGGCATGAAATACCCACAGAATATTGATACTCCCTAGTAGCTGTCTCATCTCAGTGTGAGGATCTCAAATTCATAAATAATTGAAAAACCAAATGTCTCTGTTCCTGTGAAACAGAAGTATTCTTTAGTAAGATACTCCCTCCATAAACTCATGTTATTTCTACAGATTCTTTCACCTTCTACAGAACCAAAGGCAGAACAAAGACTATTTTTTAACTATTCTCTACTATCATTGGTGAGGCAGAAACTATACATTCTTTATACAGTCTAAGTTCAATAATAATCAAGGAAGAGTCTCATCTTTGTGATTTTGGAGGCAGAAGCAAACATTTTAAACAAGTTAATCTATAAAGACAACAGTATCTAAAACAGTTATCAAAAAGAAAAAAGCTTTATATAGTGACTATTATAAGACAAAATTACTATACTATTAAAACTAATAAACTATTTGGCTACTTAATATTATTTCCACCACTAGAGGGAGATCATATACCTTGAAAGGCAAGAAAAAAGGACAAAAAGAGTTCGACCAAAGTACCTTTTAAATTACAAGCAAGCTACTGAAATGCATAGCTACAGATTTATTGTATCTAGTCAACAAAGAATGCTTGCTCCTAAACTTTGGCCACATACCTTCAGACACATGGAACTAGTTACATTTGTTATCTTCCTTAAGTATATGAGCAGGTCTAGAGGAAAGCTAAAAGCATTAGATGCCAAAGCTATTACATTATAGCACTATTTCATATTCTGGCTTCTTGGGAGAAACTATGCTCTACTCCTCTAGCCAGAACATTAGTCATCTGAAGCTCTTCCTCTTCCTGCTTTACCATTTTTGATGTTTTGCTACATTTCATCCCCAAACACCCAAGTTCTTAATGTTAATAGTAGCACAGGATTGTCATTATCTTGCGTGAAACTAGGAGTTAATGCTGGAGGATTTTACACCCCAGCTATAATGTTCCAGCAATTAAGCTGGAACTCAGATGAAGCAGCTCTCCTTGCTTGCAGGGCTGGCATCAACCCCTCACACAGGAAGGGCAATGTGTGGTGCTGTCATTCTGATTGAACTTAGACCATCAACCCTGTCCTGACATTCCTAATGCAGCCAAGTTCAAAACAGAAGATGTTACTTGTCAAGTAGTCACCAAAAAGGCCCTTTTACTTGTTTTCCTCAAGGCATCTTAATTCTCAGAGATCACTACCTTGAGCTGCAGATTCAGTTTTATGTGTGAACCTGAAGGACAATTCCCTCCCAGCCTGCACTCTACAAAAAATACCCATAAAGTTACATTTTGTGGTTCATTCAGCAGTTACTGAAAATCTTTACCGATATAATGCAAAATCCTCTTCTGTGAATATGTCTTGAATTTTGTCCCCAAAGTACCTGAAAAATTGAACAACAGTTCCTGAAACAAATTCCTGAGTAATACCAAGATGCATTCTCTGCCCCATCTGTGCTTTACCCATGATCAAAGAGTGAAAACAAAAAAAAACCCCACACACCTACATATACTTGAGCATGATGTTCCAAAAGCATTGCCAGAAGACTAAATGTTAAGATATTAAAGGATCAAGATGCAACAACTGATAATGGCATTACCCAGGTGTGAAAAAAGTCCCCTCCCATATAGGAAATAAGCACATGGATTCAGGTTTTTAAAAGTTCAGACTACCTGATTTCTTCCACTGCTGAGAAATTAGACTAAAACTATGAAAAAATTATTATTTACTGATGCAAGTAGAACTCTGAAAATAGAGGTAATGGTAGCTTTCAAAGAGCCCAGTTCAACAAAAGATCAGTTTTCATGCCACAAAATGCTCTTTAACTGGTCATGGAAACTGTGGGGAATCTAACCAACTTGTACAGTTTGTCATTACTAACCCCAGCCCACAGGGCTTGAGAAATTTGAAACAGCAAAGCCGCAAGTATAGGATAACAAAGGCAGTGAGCCACAGCCCCACTTTACCTGTACAGATTGACAAAATGCTTCCCCAGTGAAAGAGCTCCTGAGTGCAAGTCCAAAATGGATGCCTGGGAAAGGAAACAAGTAGAAAAAATGAGCATGAAAAGGTTTTATTATTTAACTATGCCTTTTAATAACTGTCCCAAGGTGGCTCTCACTTTCCACAGCCTCCCAAGTAAAAATATTTGTTTCTAGCATTTGGGTTCACAATACTAATGCTTACTTTGCAAGTACAAGGTTGCCTTAATTCGCTATACAGATGCACAAATTATTCAAGTTCTATGACAAAAGCAGAGGACTGCTGTTCCCAAGGTCCAAATCTGACACACAGAATTGCCAGAGTCGTCCTCCATGGGCTAGGGTAAGACGCTGTGTTCCTGGATCCCTTTGAGACATTTCCCTTCCACACAAAGATGACTCATTTTCCAATATTTGTGAAGCACTCAAATAGCAGTACTAATATTTATCTTCCCCAACATTTGTTATTAAACCTTCTCCTTCACCATGAGTTCCTGTATGCTTCTCATATTTAATACAGACATAAAAGTCTGTTTAAAAGAATTATAATTCTTGGGCTTACTAGAGCCAAATTTTCTTTTCCTCAATTTCTAAACCACTGTAAAATAAAACCAAAGAGTAAAAAGTTTCTACATCTGGAAATTCTATCCATTTCTTCAAACTGACTCAAGCCAAGCTTCTGCTGAGCTCCAGACCAAGCTAAAGAGATCAGTATTCAGATTTGCCAGGATAGAGAACTATCTCTCAGGACTCCAAATTATTTTCCTAAGTGGAGTAAAGAACACTTTTGTATGTCCCTTGCTGTCCACAAAATACACGTTTGGTCTGCATCAGTTGAACATTAAAAAATTAGTTGAGTATTAAAAATAGCCATATTAAAAAAATATGACTGCTTACAAGTAGTCTTTTTTTATACTGGAAATATCAAATCACAGCAGTTAATTAACCAGACGAGCACCAAGGTAATGACATCTTTGCCACACAATATCCAGGCAAAAGCACTCATCTTGGAATCTGGCATTTCTTGACGCACCACACACCATTCACATTATTCCAACAAAATCCAAACAATAATAATACTGCTAGGTGAGCTGCCTGGAAAGAATGACAGCTTCCACCTTACTAGCCACAAGAATTTCTGGGCATGGTTGGAACAATACTGTTTGGAGCCACCTTCTGTCTTCACCCACATGCAGACAGGCTGGTGCATGAGAAGCAGCAAATCATCAGCACACAGACATGTCAGAGCTGCAAGGCCAGGCCAGCTATACAGCTTCACATCCACCCCTAGCCCCAAACTGTCCTCCCTCCTCCCCTGGATCATGGTGGAAGATGACACCCATGACAACCTCTGAGCTAAAGAAAATTGCTTCAGGCTCAACTGCTCTGAGCTTGGGAGCTGAATCAGGGGAGCTCCACCAAAGCCACCTTTTAAAAGGGATAGCAACAACTTTCTTTTAATAAATACACCCAAATATCTGTATTTACCCCTTTTAAAAATATATAAAATTACAAGCTATCCAAGTGGATATAACATGAGCTTTTCAGACCTCCCCTTCCCACAGTTCTCCAACAGCTTCAGAGGACTGTTATGGAAACAAGTAATCTCACAGTCCTGCAAGAGCACTTCTGGTAATAAGCTTTACTCAAGTTTCAGAAGTAAGGTATTTTCATTTATTGGTTTCTGGTTCTGTACAATAATCAAAGCTACAGGTAGAAATAAAACTGCTCCCATCTAGCTTCAAAAATGTGCTTCTTGTGCTGAAGTACACAATAAGGCAAAGTAGCAGGACACCTCTGAAAAGATGGATTTCCAAACAAATAGCCTCCTAAATAGTTTCAACATGCCTTCCACATATACACACTTCCTCTCGCTCAAGCTCGAGATGATTACAATTGGGAAGACCCAAAACAACCACATGAATCAATAAAAGACATCCCCAAGAACTATAGGTATTCACAGCAGAAAAGGTAATAGCTATGATATAAAGCCTAGAAAAGCCAAATGAGGAAAATTGAACAGGGAACCTGAAAAGAATTTTCTTCAGGGTCATTTCAGACAGTGGAAAACAACTAAATTGCCAAATATAGAGAGGGACTTGATGACACATGAGCAGGGAGCTATTTGTTCAACAGCTACCTTGGAAAGCAACCAAAACATTTATTTTTTTGCCCCTGCTATTTCAGAACATTAAATATTTTCAGCATCATTTCCTACACTTAGAAGAATACCTTGGTGAAAGCCTGTGTCAACACTAGATTCAAATTCACTCACCTGATCAAGGGGCAGCCAGCAGCTCAGGTCAGTGTTCCCAGGCTGAAGGCTCTGCAAAGTTTATTAAGGATGGCAGGAAGACTGCAAACACCCAGAGCCACACACCTATTTCTGAGATGGTTTAGCAGAACTACCCCACTACCACGGTTTACAGGACTTCTGTAGAAAGAACATTGAATTCCTTTACAAAAATAAAGCACAAATACATGTTCTTTCGGACCTTCAGTATTGTAGGACCCCTTCTCCACCCTCTCACTGCTAACAGGATTCAGAAAGAACATCCAAGTAACCACCACATCTCAGCATGTGGTAGAAAGGGTCCATTACCCCATCTCACCAAGCATGACAGGCCCTGCCTTTGATCCTCACTAGAAGGGACTGCTAAACATGAAATATATATTCACTCCTACAGCAATGCTTCCACCTCTTCAGTGTTTTAAGTGATAATTGGAAAGAAAACTGCAGACACTGCCCCAGAAAAGAAAAATGCAGAATCTTACATCTAATTGTCTACAGAGGAGCTGGTAACACTCAGCCTTCCACTCCTCCTGGGGAACACTCACCACTGGAACTGGGAAGAGCTAGAGGACAGGGGTCAAGAGGATGGGGCTGGACTCTTGTCAGTGGTGCCCAGTGAGGAAGCACCAGCTGGAACCCAGGAGATTCTGAACAGGAAGAAAAAAAACTCCTTCCTGTGAGGGTGGCAGAGCCTGGAGCAGGCTGCCCAGAGAGGTTGTGGAGTCTCCTTCTCTGGAGAGATTCCAAACTGCCTGGACACCACCCTGGGCACCCTGCTGTGGGTGACCTGCTGGAGCAGGGGGGCTGGATGAGATGATCTCCAGAGGTCCCTTCCAACCCCCAGCACATTGTGATTCTACAATTATACACAGCCACTGGTTCCTTGGTAGCATCAAACCTGTTGTTACTGCAGGCAGTCTTACACAGACTCTCAAGACAATACCAGCTTTAAATACTCTTCCCTACATGAATCTGGAGATTAGACAAGGGTTACAGGGTTATGCTCTTAGGGTAATGCCTCTTAAAAGTTACACTAATTAATTATGAGACATAGCTGTAACCAACCTAACACATTCATCATTTAGATTGCTAGAGGTATAGGTTACTACTGTAGCAGTTAAATGCAATATTTGGATATGGAGTCCAGCACAATTTCACACTAGATACAGATCAGACACAACCATTTCCTCTTCAGCTTCCTAGAGTTAGGCCCAGATGACAGCACCACAGCTCTAAGTCAAGCTATACACTGCCAAGTATGTCACTCCTCACAAGTACATGTTTCCTAAGTGCTGTTATACCAGGAAGGAAGAAAACTATGTCCTATCTCATACTTCCACTACTAGCCACAACTGTTAAGCAGAGGCTTTATCTTCTCCCTGGAAAACAGAGCTGTCAGCATTTTGAGGACTTCAGAGTTTGGCTGGGAGGGCTGAAAGCAGAACAGGGAGGGATATGGCCTGCAGAAAGACTGTGCTGTGCATGGGTCCATGGAACCACATCAGCAGCCCTTGTCTGGCTTCACAGCTACAGGTTGCTTGCTTCTCTTGGTGAAGAAGAAACTATTTTCCCCTTCACAAAGGAGGTCTAGGTGGCTGCTCCTGCCAGTTTTGCTTCAACACAGGAAACAGACTGCAGCTGACAGGCTGCACCAAGAGATTTCTTTTCCGAGGCTTCTAAATGAAGTGCCAATAGATCTGACAGTGAATGAGTCATGTCATTTACACTAGAGAGATGTTCTGATGGCAGCACCTACAAAGATGTGAATGAATGAGTCATGACTAAAGTGGTAACACAGCAGGGGCAGAATGCAAGGAAGTATTAGGTAGGGGAGAAGGGGAAAGCTCATCATCTTTATAAAGCAGCATACTGGTGGAGAAGATGCTTCTGTTTGGATTCTGTTGAAAGTTAGACTAGAAGATTACAATGACCTCTTCTAGCCTCACTGTGTGCTCACAAATAAAAATAAATCTAGGAAAAAATTACAAAAGAAGAAACATCAGCATGACAACTGGGGCATAACTCCTAGGAGATTTCAATAATTCAGATGTTTGCCAGGACCTTCTCAACACAAATGCAAGAAAGGGAAACAAGTTTGTGCTATACTTAGTACTCCAAGGAAGCAGAAAGGGCAAAGGGAAGAGAGAATTGACAGAGTCATAAACCACATATTTAGGTCTGAAGTTAATAAATTATATCCTGACAGACACAAATCCACTTCTGCAAACTCAAAATTTAAGTATGACAGACCAAAAAACCAAACAGACGTATTGCTTACACAGATATTAAGAAAACAGAGAATGAAAAAAGCAGTCTCCACCCAGTAGAAATCTGAAGAAACTATTTTGAATAGTGGAGAGATCAAGTGGTTAAAGGAAATTCTACAGAATTTAACAGAATCAAGGATTTATTTAAAGAAAAAAGAGTAACAGACATAATTGGACAGAATTATCCAAAAACTCTAAAGTCTAAGAAATTCAAACCAACAAGCCAAACCTAATCTGACAAGCTTGAAGCTTGAGAGGCATACAGGCAAATTGGCCAAAGTAAGACTTGAAGCATTTTGTATGCTACATAGGTAAGAGATTTGAAAAGATAAGAGGCTCAAAAGAAGAAAGCCAGTTTCATCTATGTATTATCAGCACATATCCATCAGTATTTAATGAAATCTGGAAACCAAGACAGCACTATTGGGAAAAGACTCACTCCATGGCATGGGGCATACAAGCACACACATCAAAAGAAAGTCAGGAAAACAGCAGAATAGAAAAAACTTGTATTTAAAGGCTTCTCCTAAACAGTCTCTCAGAAACACAAGTCAGCTCTTGTTTTGAGATTCTTTCAGTGTTAATCCAAGAAAGTGGATAAGGCCTTAACACAGTACTGCACAGCTTCCTTCTTGCACCTTTCCCTAGGAAGCAGCAGCACACAGTAACTTCCTCACACTTACAGATTATGGGGAATGTGAGAAGGCTTGAATTGGAGCCCAGACATCTCTCAATATACATCAGATTTCTTAGCAGACTTATTTCATGGCAGCAATAAAATCTTTCCCCTCCTATTTCCCTTCCCTTAAAAAAAAAAAAAATCACAATGCTGCTTTCAAAATGATCTAGATGGATTTATATTTGTCTGGTACTCTGGCTTGTTGTCCAAGTAAGCCAGGTCAGGACCTTCACCCAGCCCTGTGCAGTGGGCAGCAAGTTCAACTCCCCCATGTTCTTCTTCAAGCTTTCTCTGCCTCAGTTCCCCCAATTCCCTGACCCACAGATGGACATTAGCTTTCTGTGGTCCAAAGCCATGAACCTGTCTGTGTTATACACTGCTCTTCTAATCCCTCTTTAGGGAAGTTCAACCAATTAAAAAAAAACAAAACAAAACAAAACATGTGGGTCCCAAGAGAACACAATAGGAAACCCATTTGACAGCACCAATGACAGGAGTTAAGCCACATCTCCCAGCAGGCAGAATAATCTGGGCAAAATGGCAAATTATGCAACCACAGAAGTTAAAAAACCCAGGGGGTCCTGAGACAACTGAACAGAGGATGTTGAATCTTTTTAATATATTGTTTCAGATAGGCAGCACTGCTTTAGTTTCTCAGGTTATACTTTTTGCAGGTCTTTCTCAATAATCAAAAGGACATTTAAGTCTTATTTTTCATTGAAGTCTCTTCTTTTCTGCTAATATATGCCCTAATTCAACAGAGGCCTAAAGGAGTGGTTGTATTTACAAATCCTCAAGAAACAGTTTGTTCATAAAAAAACCATCCCAAGAACAAACACAGGGAAAGAAAATAAAATAAATATGCTTGTTAGGGAAGTGGGTTTGTTTTCATTTTTAAAGAATAATATTCAAAGGTCTACTAAATACATCACATGGCATTTTTCATCACTAAACAAAACAAATCTTTACACGCTGCTGTGAAACAGTTTAGTTTCAGAAGTCAAAATTGTGCAGTTCTGCTGTAGTAACTCTTTCCAGATGGAGAAGACAAAAGACACTTCAAGAGAGGCATGAGAAATAACTGAACTGAATAATAGGAAATGTTAGCTGTAATGCAGAAGTCAAATCACACTGCTAGCAGAAGCATTAACAGGAGATAAAATAACTTTGCAAACAAGTTTTTTTCTAAGTCTGAATGGAAGGAAAAATTCTCCATCTCCTCGAGCCCCAAAAATGCATTTATAATCGTGCCTTGGCAGTAAAATAATGTAAGAAGTAACAGGACACTGCTCACCCCTCCATCAGATCCTCCCAAGGACAGTCCCTTCTCTGCTATTCTGCAGGCAAAACAATAACCTCAGATGAGAACTAAAGTCCAAGTACTTTGTCCTTCAATGCCATTACTGCAATCTAACTCTTCAGTAAGAGTGGTATTTGATTCATCAGAGATAACTCAGTTCAATTAATAGAAGCTGACACGTATGTGAAACTGAATCTTGCAGTCTGTCATGAAAATAAAGTACCTATATTGCAGAGCATGTCTGAGCTTGCAGCCCCCTTCCATAAACCTCCCCAAAAAACACTTTTTCAAATTTTATCTATCCAAGTAAGAACAAAAAAAATCCCAGATCTTGATTCTCTCGGGCAGTACAAATAAACCTGTACAATGTAAAAATGCTGAATCTGAAACCAGAGTGGCCAACCTGACTGGTGAACAAAGCACTTATGACTGCAGATCCCTTTAAGCCTGACCATGATATTCCCCACTGACCTAATTAGCAAGTCCAAATCACACACAAAGAGGCTGATAACTTTTCCAACTGCATAACTTGACAGTGTCCCTTACTATTTGATTAAAACTCACCCCTTGGTGTTCATAGAGGATTACAGGGTCAGCACTAGCTCGTGATTACCCAGAAACAGACTCAGCTGAAAGGAAGCTTATGTTGTTTTGTTCTATTTTTAAAGGGCAGATGTAACAGAAGGCCAAGTGAAAATCCTTGAACACTTAATTCCTTCTTTTTTTTCTACAACACTCATGCCCCACAGAGGTAGGCTGACTATATGAAAACTCCCTCCACTGTAGCAAAAAAAAAAAAAAAAAAAATGGAAAAGGGCTTTTAAAAATAGTTTGTTTTAACCAATTCAGCCCATCCTCCTTTAGCTGATGAACTTTGTGCTACACCTTCAACACTGTCAAATTTGCATTAAAGTAACAGCTTGTAAAAGTTAAGAAGCTGAAAGAAAAATTACCTACGAATTCTTTCTGCTTCTTCCCTTGTGATTACTGCATCAGTCACTCCTCTTCCACACTTTCTAGGAGTGCACCCTGGAACACAGAAAAAAAAATCTCAGCTTTCAAACAGTGTTCAAAAGAAATGTCTATTAGTGTTCTCTTACACGCCTTTCAGATGGCCAAAAACCCTTCTGAATGCTGTGAATCTCAATATTTAAGATCACTTAAATACAAGAAGGTTACATCTTCACTTTGATGTCTTTTGTGCCAGAATCAGAGAGAATACAACCCAGCTGATGTCACTGTTGTTTCTGCACAGATTCAAATCCTCAGAACTCATCTAAGCTACATCACTTTCCCTGCTACCTTGGTTGGTGTAATTCGGGGCAATTACACCAACTAACCCTACAAGTTATTTCCTGCTATACACCTTGTGCAACTCAACAGAATGGAGATGATCTACAAGGAATGAATCCCCAGCCCCAAAGCAGCACAGCCACTGGAGATGTGGCTGTCAGGCATGACCTAGAGCCTCCAGCACTCAGGAAAAACAAAACACAGCAATACCATGCCTTTAAAATCAAACTACTTTTCCTGTTGATCTGAAAATAATTTTCAGAAACCTTAAGATTGTTACAATCCTTTACAAGATTGTTACAAACTTTGGGATTAAAATGGACTTACAGATGTCCATTTGGACATCTACAACTTCAAGTCAGAGAAGATGGCCTTTGTTTAGTGATGAGCTACAGATGTATCTGGTACCTCCATGTACATGCAGCAAGACAGATGCAGTGATTTTTCCCCTTCTTCCCACATGCAGTAGTGAAAACAAAAGTTCCTGCTTATACAACTGATCTCTGAAAGGAAGACTATCTTGGGTGACTGCAACTTACACACTCTGGTCTAGCCTTTGGACAGGCAGAGCAAGAACCTGAGGGCTCAGTAGTGCTACATGGATCCTTTCATCTCAGGCTGACAGTTGCAAAATCAGCCAAGATGTCTGGCAACTAAACCCCCTTAGTATCACATTTCCATATACAAAATGCTTTCTGTTAACAATCCAAGTAGGTCTTAAAGGTGTCTTAAGTTCAGTACACAAGATGAAAATAGTTTTGTCCTAAAAAAAAAAACCCACACCAATCTCAACAGGACAAAAAAGCTCAATTGTCCTGGAGAAAAACAAGATTCAGAAGACAAGAGATACCTCAATGCAGACTGGAGTGGATGTAACACCAGAGCACCACTGTGCTAGTAACAGAAAAGAGAGAATGCCACTCAGACAGCAGTGAAATCACTACTTGACTAAGGAAAAAGTGGAGTAATTGGCTAGAAGAAACAGTTCAAGCCATGGAGATAACACTAACAAGGGTTCCTGCACAGGTATAGGATCTTTATGTAGTATCAATACATGCTTGTTCATGTATTGACAAAGAACTGAATTTAACCCATGTTTTGGTATTCAACCCAAATCTGTTTATCAACAGAGATCCCTGTAGTCAAGCGCTAGAAATCATTGTATTTGTCAACTAGAAGTCACTGGGAAAGCAATGGTAACAAAAAAGGCAGTGAATTTGAATGTTCCAACTGTACTGTCAGAATAAAGGCAACATATTTCAGATTTGCTCACTGCCCCCCTCCAGCCACATGAGTCAAAAGGAAGCAATAACATTCTGTGTGTGCTGTCTATACAATTATGCCTTAAAAGGCAACTTTTTATATGAGACTTGGCACAGAAGTGCCTTGAAGCAAACAGCCTGGACATATATGATAAAGTCTCTTTAAATTTTTATAGCTCATGGAAACAAGCAAGCAGTAGGAGTTCCAGGTGCAGAATACATGAAAGTCCTCATGAAATTAGAGGTCTGGTCCAGAACAGTCTTCAGGCAAGAAGAAATAAGAATCAATTCTGAGACACCAGAGACCTTGGGATGTCACACTTGGCACCTCCTGGGGAAGTTCCACCTAGATGTAAAGCCACAGAAAAGCTGGGATGAGCATATTTTCTAACACATGCCAATACATTTACTGTTGCTGAATCCTCTTGGGAGATTTATTGTTCTTCAGAACACAGGAGGGGAAGCAAAACTCCTGGAAATAAGTCAATCAGCTCACCCATGCAGGTCAAAAGCATCATCACCAAAAGCAACTAACAGTAACCATGACTGCAGACCTAAAGAAAGAGAAATTTTGCCACAGTAGAAGTGCTGGGTAGGAATTTCTACTCCATCATAGTGTATATACCCTGATATAGCCCTGCAGCTACAACAGCATTTCAAGAGAGAGAACTAATGAGAAAGACGTGGGGGTGAATATGCTGAATACTGACAACCAGATACCAAACTACACAAAGTTTCCTTGCTTGGGAAAGACCAGTCCCTTGTTTGAGGAATGTTTAAATTGCAGTCAAAGGCACCCACTCCAAGCAGACTGTCTAAACACAGATCAAGGTTAGGGAACCAACTGGATTACAATCCAGATAATTCATTGTGTTTTCTGACTACCCAGAAACTACTCCTTGAAGCAGTTCAGGATTCAGACTCCAGCAAGCATATGCTAAATTCTTTGAAGATAACTTAGGAAACTAGCAGTCTAAAATAATGGCAGAGATTACTTTCTTCAGCATGCATTTATCAACACCCAGCACTGTGCCAAGAATCAACCAGAACTGCATCTCCCACAGATCATTTTCCTCCTCGAGTTTGTGAGCTAAAGAAATGAGCAGAACCTAAACATACCATTCATCAGAAACTGTAGTGCTTTGGTATCAAAGCAAAGGCACCAAAAATAGTCAAAGTTGTGGTAGTAATCCAGACCCTTTGTGTATTAAAGAACACTTCAAAACACAGTACCAGCCCCAGAGGTACAGAATTCAAACCAACAAGACCCACACGGCTTTACAGGCAGAAAGTTGGTCTAAGTTACAAATCTGGAGGGGATGGAGAGGAGCTTCTGTGCTATGTTTCAGGCATGTTGTAAAGATCCCCTCTGTAACCAGAAAGGCTAGGCACAGTTATTGAAAAATGCAAGAATTTCCACTATCTCAGTTCCCAGAACCAATAATTTGCAAATTAAACAGCACAGATCCTGCAGCAAAAAATGCAAGTGCTGGAAATGTTGGACTCCTTTGGAGTATATGACCCATCAGCTCTGGAAAGCAATACGTAGTAGCTGCAAACTGTTTCCTGTCTGCCCTAACAAAGACATACACATTCTGTGTTGTTCTGCTTTAAAGTCTCCATCATACATTGGGCAGTGGCAGATAAAAATCAGTTATTCACTTTGGAATGCCAGGCTGAAGAGCATCTCAGAAGCCAATTGAAAGGCATGAGACATCTCTGCCTCAGGCTAGCAAATACTCACCCAAGGAGTGAGACAGATGGCTGAGGCAGTAACCACTTCCAGGACCCAATTTTAAACTGAGATGCATGTAAAAAAACAGCTGCAGATGAATTAATTTGGGTTTCCAAAACTGAAAAAAAAATATTACCAACCATTTCATTAGTAACCACAATCCACTCAATCACAGATCACACAATCTATACTTCATACTGTACCAAACATTTTACTGGGTAGAAAGACGTTAAAGTTAAGAAGCACAAGTGCAGATATTGACAGTACACTTCTAAAAAAATTGTTAAAACGTTAAAGACTGAATTCACAGGCTGACAGAAAAATGCTAATTTTCAGGAGTTTGGATAAAACTGAACACAGAAAAACAAGGAAGCTCTTCTAGCTAATACAGGCAAGAAAAGGACTCTCCTTCTGCCAGTGAAGAGGTCGCTATTGCTTGAAAGGCAAAGAAAACTGTCTTAGGGATGAGGGAAAGCTGATGTTCAAGAGGAGAAGAGGTGTGAAAGGGTAAATTTGGAGAATTTCAATACTCCAGGACAAACCTGAATAGTTTTCTTTCTGTGACATTCTAAAACAACAACACTAGCAAAGGCTTCTGATTTCAGAAAAAAAAAAAAAAAAAAAAGTACTTTGTTTCCAGCTGCATAGATCTTGCCTTTTTGGCAAGGCTGCTACTGGAGAGTCCAGATCTGACAAAACTACAGGGTTACCTTGAGCAATTGTTACTTGCCTAGGGTATCTGACAAAGAACTTGCAAAGACAGTACTGGAAGTAACAGCAGAAGCTTTTCCAAACTGAGAAGAAAAGCAAGCAAGTCCAACATAGCCAGCCAGGTACCAACAGTAAGGCACAACCACTGGACAGATGCTAAGGAAAGGTCAGACAGTCTGAAAACAATTTTAGCATTAAGAAATCTGTTGTCTTTGCCTCCAAAACCACGGTACATCTGAGCACTGAAGTGTTAAAAGCATACTCAGAGAACCTGCACCCAGAAATTCAGTTTAATAATATAAAGAACCCAGTAGCTTCCACAAATTTGTGCCTGGCAGACAAAATAATTCACTTACTTGATAAGGCTTTGGATCTTAACAGTTGTAATTTTTTCAATCAAGGTAAAGGAGGAACACACCAAAACAGGCAAAAGTACCAGCACTCATTATGGCCCCTGCCCCAAGCTGCAGTTCTGTCTTTTACTTAAAGCAGTAGCTGGCCAGGAATCACACACTGCCAAGACCAGGATGATTCACATGAGAAAGAAGCCCCATCATGATGCTCCCCTAATGCAGTTCACCTCAAAGCAGGACAAGAAGAGGCAAGGATTTATTAGGTGCCACCTCCACAAGCACACCAGCAGTTTAGGTGCTAGACCTTTACCTCCACTGCTCAGACTTCTCTGCTTTCCACACTCACTTATCTCGTCTCTGGAAAAGCACCTTAAAGCTGTCTCCTGGGCAGTGACCATGGATGCTTTGTGTACTGACAAAGTGTCAACACACATAAGAGACTACGCAGGAGTTTGATCAGACACAGTAGTAGCCACAGTCATTTTAAGTAGTTAAACATGTCTCAAGACAGCAGAAATAGTCAACACCTGGCTGCAGGGTTCAGAACACAGACAGGGCTGTGCTCACAGATACCTTATCTTCGGCAAATATAATAAGTTAAGTGCTTGGCCTCTGAAAAATAACACATTTTATTTCTGTATGAAGCACATTTACTGTCAGGCAGCGCTATGGAAATCAACCCACTGCTCTGTGACACCAACTATCACACCCTTTGAGGCAAACTAAAAGCTCAGTTGCACTAGTTGAATTTGAAGCAGGGACAGGTGCACAAATAAAAAGCTCATCTTGGCTGTGGAAACTTTCACAGCTGAGCATCAGACACAGAGCAAGGGCAGGCATGTGCCTCCTGACACAGCCAGCAGCTGCACATGCCAAGCCAGGGCAAAGGCAGAGAATGAAGAGCTACTGAGTGATGGAAAGCTATTTCCCACCAACTGACTGCAGCTCTGGAGCCCAGTCCAGTTTGGCAGAGAAGCACAATCCGCACGGAGCACCTCACTGAGCTACCGGTGACACCGGCAGGGAGCAGGAGCCGGCGCGGCCAGCCCGGCTCAGCAGCTCACCGACGCCCTCCTCCGGGCACCGCGCAGCGGACGAGAGCCACAGACCAAGAGCCAAGTTCATGACCCCAGCTCGGCTTCAATTAACCACTTAAAATAGAGGTTCACACATTTCTCATACCACTGATCTCTTCCTGAAAGCAGAATACAGGGGAACAAGCGTAAAAACAGCTGCTAAAAACTCAAATCAGTCAGGTAAGTTAAGAAGCAGCAGCAAGCAAGCAACTAATTAGAAAGCTGGAAGCAAACTCAGGCAAGAGGAGGGAGTCCTTTGCTCCTCCTGGGCTGGTACCAGCCATGCTCACACAAAGCCAAGGGAGGTCACGCTGCACCCTGCAGGGAGCATCCATAGAATCATTAAGGTTGGAAAAGACCTCCAAGGTCATCAAGTCCAACTGCTAACCCAACACTACCATGACTACTAAACCATGCCCTGAAGTGCTAGGTCCACACTTTTTAACCCCTCCAGGGATGGGGACTCCAGCACCTCCCTAGGCAGCCTGATCCAATGCCTCACCACTCTGTCAGCAAAGAGATTCTTCCTAAGATCCAATCAAGACATCTAACACAACTTAAGCTAAACATTTGCAGAGCTTGCTCCCCATGACATCACAAGAACAGAGCACATTTGCTCCTCTTCCCAGTCAGAGACAGCCCCGCAGTTCCTGCCCTCCTCAGGATGAAAGGAGTAACTGATGGAGTTGTCAGCATCACAAGTTCACAGCTCAGAAAACTGCAAACCAGGAAGGGAAAAATAAGTTTTTGTTGGGTCTGAGGGTCGTTTTGGGTACACAGAAGCCCTAGTAGCAGAATGCAGAGTTTTAGTCCTCACTGAGTGGTAACTATCAGATCTGTGGCAACACAGCTGCAGGGTTCTCTGGCCCTGGTACTATGCAGATGAAACCAGAAGCAGTCTCTCCTTATACTAACTATGAGAAGTTAAAACAGAACATGTATTTTCATGTGCTCAGCCAAAATTATGACCCTACCAAATGCATTTTCTTGCTGGTAGCTTCCTGACAGCACTTTTCTTGGCCTCAGTAACTTTTGGGATGAATCTTCTATAAAAGACGCTACAGCAGCAGCATTGAAGAAAAACTGACCCACATCACCAGGACCAGCCACCTGAATAGGGCAGGGAGAATTGCCTCCACAGCTCTGGGGCACCACACACAGGCTGCAGTTTGATGAGCACTATCTACCAGAAGAAAGTACAATTGTAGAACGGCCCAGGTTGGAAGGGGCCTTGAAAGATCACCTGGCCCAGCCTTTTGTAGTAAAGGGAGCCTAGATGAGATACCTAGCACCATGCTCAGCCACATCTTGAAAGCCTCCAGCAACAGGGACTCTGCCATGTCCCTTGGGAAATTGTTCCAGTGATTGTTCTCTCTGCAAAACATTTCTTTCCCACATCAAGATCAAATCTTGCTTAGTGCAACTTGTACCCGTTGCCCTTTGTCTTCTCCATGTGGCTCCTTGTGAATGGAGAGCCTCCATCCTCTTTATAGTTGCCCTTTAAGTACTGGGACACTGTGATGGTCCCCCCTGAGCCTCCTCTTCTCCAGAAGGGACTTAACTCCTTCAGTCTTCCCTCACAGGCAGATTTTCCAGCCCTTTGATCATCTTTGCTCTTCCTCAGATCCAAGCAGCTTCTTCCAGCCTCCACACAGCCTCCAGCTTTCTGCCAGTAAATCTTTTGTCAGCCACATAATGGACCAACCAGGTAAGACAGCTGATTTGACTAAAAATTAACCTAGAAATATTTTTTAAATGCAACCGCCTATCAGTGAACACATAGCTAAACATACAGGTAGGCTGACAAAAATGAAGAGCAGAGCTGCCCTCTGGCAGCAGTACCAGCTCAAAATGTTCAGATTACTTCATAAATCTGAAAAACATCAGAACAGCTTATACATGTGAACTGTAACTTTCTCACTACTCTTCATGAGAGTATCTACATTCCATTTCTCTACGGAATTCAACATCAACACACCAAAAACATAAGTGCCAGGGGAGACAAACACCAATCTGACAGAAAAGCTCAAATGAAAGACACAAGAGAAATGCTTTGCAGGCAGCATCAAAAGCTGCCTACACACACACACCCCCCCCTCAAAACAGGTGAATCAGAAGGTGGCATGTGTGCCATTACCACATGCTGGCAGCAGAGAGCATCCTAAATCAAACCCAGTCCATACCCCGTGTGCCATTTACCAGGAACAAAGTCACCACAGGAAGCAGCAGAGCATGAAAAAACACTAGAATTGGAAAAAAAAAAGTTTTGTTTCAAACAGTCTAAGCAAAGCCATTTCAGAAGAGAATAACACAGGAATAACAGAGAAAACTCTCAAAAACAAAAACTTATGGGCTGGCCCAGGAGGCACCAGCATTTGGAAATTTAAACAGCACACACAGTAACCCGGTGCTTGCTAGAAAAGCAGGAGGTTTGCACCAGTTATGGTCCGCTGAAAACTGCTTCACCCCACTTCAGACAACCCCGCCCAAATACCTTCAAATCTTTTGTGGTTGTCGTAGTCCTCAGAGCAAGGGATCTCAAAGAACTTGTCCTGGAGGTTCTCACGGTGATGCGCCAGCACCTCCGTGACCCCGTCCTCGGCGCTCAGGCAGCTCCAGCACAGCAGCGCGCCCACGGCCGCGGCCAG